CTTTTGGGATTGACTGAATAGCCAATACATCCTTAATAATGCAATCTCGATTCAAATAAAATGATTATTTGTGATAATGTCTCTAGAAGGAGGAAAAATGTGTGGACTGGTACAATTGTAAAAGTGAGAATCGGCTCCTCTACGTGTCTTATGAATTAGATATTGTACTAGATTGTGGGAACTTATGGTTTTGGTGGGAAAAGATTGGAGCAAAAATAAGGTGCAGGTACTTCCTAACGATCCGGATCTCAGCCGTCCTTTATTTCCTTTCATGGGAACGAAGGACCCAGTCCTTTGTAAAAGGACCTCGGTAACTTTCCAACCGGCTTCACATTCTAAAGCAAATTCATCAACGAATATTGCTATCCCTAATAAAATGAACTAATAAATAGAATAATGCTTGTAATTAGCTAGTGCAGAAGATTGCCAAACGAGGCATTGTTTCAATGAAGCTCTAGAATTACCATTATTCATTCACTTAATATTTAAATGAGCCTGAGAACAGTACAATTAAAACAAATACGAATCTTGCATTTTGTTGAAGTAATATTTATTGATCTTGTCAAATTGAAATGTTTAAATATTCCAATTCTCTTATTAATATTTAAATGATTCAACAGCTTAGGATTCTGATCCTTGTTTTTGCTTAATACTTGTTGATCGTCTACCCTGTGCCAAGTCTGTCTTCGAACCTGAAGCGCCCCAGAGGTAGTTTTCTCGAAAGGGTTGGGAACGGTTCCTTTGTATTTGTCCTTGGTCGCACGGGAGGCGTCTTAACGGTCAACGCACCAAGTTGCCCTTTATTTCACGCAGCAGTCCCTGCAGTGTTTGGTCGGTTGGCCAGGTACAGCATTCCACCAGTTGCACATTCGGGTGGCGCGCGAGCGCGCACCCTTCTCCGGCGCGTACACACGCGCGAAGTGTATCGCGTTACGCGGCGCACATTCGCAAAAGCTTATGGAGCAGAATGCGGTGCAGTAAACACACCGGGGCGGCGGCGAGTGGGGCACCATGAAGAAGTAGGGGCATTCACGGTGGTGTTGTCCGTCCGCTGTTGTGTACCCAAAGCGTTTGTGCGTGCGCGCGCGTGCGTCAGTGACTCATGGTTTCATGAATGGAAACCTTTCGTCTTCTAGTCCTCGTGCACGGTGAATGGTCCACCGGAAACGGCTGGTTACACCCCGTTTCCGTTACACCGAACTGCGCAGCGCGATGAGGGAAAAACGGCCGAGCTGCGCCCAATGACGATGACTGGCGTTGTTAGGAATTCCGCGTTTAGGGTGCGAACGGACACTTTGCCTTCGGAGGCATGTCCACAGTTATCGGGACCAGTAATTAGCCTTCTGAGATTGATATATAAACACGTCATTTTTTTCATTCAATTTGTTCTAATTTAGTTTATTTTTTAAAATAAGAAAATTGAATTATTAAGAAATATAATTAAAAATTGGAAATAATTATAATAGCAAATCCTCAATACTTTTCGTTGAAGAAAGACAACGAGTTTCAGAATGATTAGCTAATTTTACATCCTGAGAAAAATCCAACCGGGGACTGCGAAATGCGTATCATAACTGGTAATAAAGTCTCGTAATCGTGTGCAAATTGCGTAATAATCACCGCGCACAATCTTCGTTTTTTTCCATTCCGCGTAAAATTTTCTAATGGAAAGGTCTGACCATTGTTAATAATTACATTTCAACCATTTCAATGGAAAAACGATTAAGTAATTATTTTGTTTGAAAAAAATAGAATTAGCTTCTCTAAGTCATAGCAGCGTGTCGTTCACGGAACGCGGTTCCTGTCGGTTAATTTTAATCATTCGAGGAACCGCTTCTGGGGGAAGACGGCAAATAGAGCGGAGGCAACAAGTACGGATTTCCCGGAACCGCGGTATCGTTTTTGTGATCGCGACAGGTGTCACAGCTTTTCGTCATTCTGCACACACGCACCTTCTGTTACCAAAACCAGTAATTTTTGATATTTTTAGAATATACGCACAATGACGTAATTGTTCTATATATTGAAAACAGGCTAAATCATGCAAAGAGGAATGCGATATTAAAATATAATAATAAAATTTTGAGCCTTGAAATATTATCGAAGTAATTGTAATTAGTATTCTCATCTCGAGAAGTAGAAGGGACGCTATCGCGTCTTCCACCGGAACAAATTGCGGGAAACACGTCATCAGAGGGTGGACAAAGTGTCGTTTTGAGGAACAACCCCGGACACGCGTTCGGAGGCGTCGATTAATCGGCAGTACACGCCACTAAACGACGATAAGCACCGAATCTTATCTGGCTACGCATGGGGGATCGGCGTAAAGTAGTTTAGGCAAGCGTCGAGCGAGACGCCGGGGGGTGCGTAGTAGCGTCGGCCCCCAGCTACTGTTCATTGCACGTTATACGCGCGCGTAGACCCGCGAGCTGGCATCTGCTATGAGTCACGGGTGACGAATGGTTGTCGGAGAAAGCGAAAGAAAATCGGTAGAGGAGAGAGAAGGGGGAACTCTGCGAGAGAAGGGAGTGTTATAGATAAACGGAGAAAAATGAGGTTGAAGCTGGGTCAAGGGGGGAGTGAGAGATCTCGGACAGGAAGCTCAATGATCTCGATCGTAATTATCTGATTTAGAATGAATCTAATAAAGAAGTTGATCATTAATGTCGTTGTAAATAAGAAATTGTTATACTACTCGTGTATCTATGCTTATTTTTAATATAATGATAGATTAGTACTACTTTCAAGTAGGATTTCTCATTCTCTGTATCTTTGATCCATTTACTTATTGTAGAAGTTTGGATGAACTTTGCATATAAAGGAAGATGATTTGATATAGACAAAGGGAGAGGTAGTCTCTGTTGTGGCTGCAAACGTTCCACAGATTCTCGCAAACGAAGCTGAGTAAGATAGGATCGACTCCGTATTTTCACACTAGACATCGCGAAGTCCTCGTGTATCCGCACGTGCGCTCGCAGCGGTTCTCACACTTCTTTGTGCCCGCCGCTGTCTTCTTCCAGCTGCACAAGAACGGACGGACTCGCTTCGCCGTGACTCATTGGCGATACGATAGCGTCCCCCAAGTTACGTAACCGAATCGCCTGTTTGGGTTTCACGGCTGGTTTTGTTCTGCCCGTTTACGACTACATACGTTACGTTACTCTGAGCTGGTGTTTTCTGCTCGTAAATCGCTTGCTAGATATCCCGGATGACGTACCCACCGACGTCGATGACCCGCGGTTCACATTTCTATACCAGGAAAAAGTCGTAAAACTAGAATTGAAATTCAGTGAAAACCGTTCGTTCAGTGGAACTGCGTTTCCGCTAAAAGTTGAATCTTCCGTTCAATATGTTATTTCATAAGCAAAACTTATTTCTTTAGTTTAAGAATTCCTAATAAAAAATCATTTTAGTTCAAATGAGAGGATGTATCATGCTGATGAATCAATTTTCTTGTTTGCAGAGGAAGCCCGAAAAGCCGGTAGCAGCGTGTTAGTGCATTGTCAGGCAGGAGTATCGCGCAGTGCGACGATCGCAATTGCGTACATAATGCGGCACAAGGGTTTGTCCATGGTGGAAGCTTACAAACTGGTGAAAAACGTGCGACCGATCATCAGTCCGAATTTGAACTTCATGGGTCAATTACTGGAGCTCGAACAGGGCTTGAGGGCGTCCGGTGGCGTGGCCCCGGCCCCCGAGGAACCGAAGAGTTGCCATCAGTGTCGCTGGTCCCACCAGCAAAACAGCGAAGAAGTCACTTCCGGATGCAGCGTCTGAGCCGACTCCAACCGGCGGGATCACCAGTTCCTCGTTTCGAGACACTGGGTTCCACAGCGAAAAGCCAGAGTTAAAGAAAATAGAGAGGAGAGAGAGAGGAGGAGAGAGCAATTCGTCTCGACGAATCGCGTGAGATGCTGTCGACACAGTCAAAATCACGCGCTCTTGCAAACATATCCTACGAGTGATAATAAGAGAACAAGTTCTTCCTGTTTCACGCGCGGCGCGAAGAACTCGGATTTCTACCCCCTTCAAAGCTACCACGTGCCTTGGCGTTCGGCCGTAGAAACGGGAAAGGCTGACTTACAAAAAAGTATACATGCATTCATACGCAAAAGTAAAAAGAGGAAGCTCTTCGCGGGAGTCGCGAAGAACAGATGATGGTGTACTTACGCGACAGTGTTCCGTAGTTGAATCGGTAAACGTGTAAACGACACTTGGTAAGACGCGCGTTCGTCCACTGCTTCCTCTTGATTTTGCGGCGACAAGCTACGTGTACTCACAGTGTTCCGTTTTCCTTCAAACGATCTAAATGAGTCTTCATTCTTCTTTCTCGTTTTTATGACGCTTTCGTTCGTTGCACGAAATTGATTTTTGAGAGCTACGAGAACGTGGTCAGTTCAGACTGTTGAAATTCTGATCTACACAACTAGTTTTACTCAATACTTTCTCGATTACGTTCAGTGCAGTTAGAAAATCAGTATGTAAATAATAACACTGTTAGAGAATCATTTTTATTTATTTGAGAACGCTGTTTTCGGTAACGCGCACCAAGGAATTGTAGCCGGGATCGTTTATTCGCGGAAATTCGTTTCGCCAGCGGAGTACGCACGCGCAGCAAATGGGACAAGTGACTAAAAAGAAAACTATGGATGAATGAGTGTATGTCAATTGAGATCAATATTTACTATGTTTGCGTTTTTGCCTATTTGTATCTCTGTATTCGTAATAATATTACATTACCCGATAGCAAAGTGGTTTATATTTGATAAAGAAAAACAACATAATGATAATATATCGTTGAATAATCGACCGATGAATTAATTAGCTTAACCACGAGCTCCGTAGCATTTAAGGATCTGGTTGAGGTCCAACCATCGTGATCTAGTCGTTTCTTGGGATGTAATTAATTAATCGACGATACATACATATACAAGTTGTGAAAGAGAGAGCGAGAATGAGGGAGAGAATTTAAAAAGAAAAAAAACACGTCCCCGCCAACTAATTAGATGTAATAATGTGAGTCGTCAAACTCGAGGGACGTTGATTTCGAAAATCGTAGACATAATTCTCCAATTTAAATTCAAACTACTCTTGTTTTTTGCTGACTGACACAGGATTTATTTTTTTATGTAAACCACTAAATTCTGTTTTCGATCTATGAATAAATATATGAATATTCTCAGCAGTAATTTAGATCAGACGTTGAGTTTAAATAAAGAATTGGCTTCATTATCGGATTTGACTGCGCAATCTTTATCTCAGGTTATTATTTTGCAACGTTTCGCTGATAATCCGACTCGATGACGAAAGTCGAACGAAAATTGTTCGAAATGAACGCGCGCTTAGAAATGTGCGCTGCGTCGAGGGTGAGAGTCTAATCTGTGTCAACGGCGGGGAAGTATTATAAAACGGGAAAGCGTAGTCCGTTTCCTCGCTTCAATTCGCTCGAAATCGCATGTACCTCGAGAAACTTGCAAAATCGACTTCTGTCTTTTTGGACCGTGACCATCGCTGCGAAATACCTCGAGCAAAATGGCCTAAAAGAACGAACGTTGATTGATTAAACTTAAAGAAAAAAAGAAAGAAGAAATCGACAATCGTCGCTGTCGAATCAAATCGAGCAGCTGTTCAAAAAAAAAACCCAAGGAAAATTCCTTACACCGATATATGCCTTTCTACTTTAGAGAGAGAGACTCATTACTGTTGACAATAAAGAATTGAAAAGCTCGACGTGAGGAGAAGTTGTCTTTGCGTGGGCGTAGGAGGAGGGAATAAGTTCACGACGTATATAGCGTAACGTGTACAGAATTATCGTGTATAGGATTAAACGAGGCAAGTTCCTTCTTCAGATTCTGTTTAATTCTCTCGAATGGAAACGGTACATATCAAACAGACGTCGCCTTCTTTTATTTCCTTTCTTTCTTTCTTTCTTTTTTTTTCTGTTCTCCGTAGATTTGCGAAGAATGTCACGTTCGAATGGGAACAAATCTCCTGTCGTTCGCGTCTCCTATAAATATAAGTCGGGCATCGTGACGCTTCGCATAGACATTGTAAAAAGTGTTTCTTAGCGAATAGTGTTGTAAATAAATATCGCAGAGCGTAGACGGTGTGGTCGAAGAGAGGGGAGAGACCGATGATATCTAATTTTAGAGAGTACTAATGAGCGAGGAGGGCTCTATTTCCTTTAGGGTTTAGAGAAAAGCTGGAAACCACGAGCGTAGTAAGTACCTGTTGCGGGATGTACGATGTACGATGATACATGTGTTGTAATGCGGTGTTTAAACTAAATTTTGTGGAACAATTCTTGTAACAATACAAATTGTACGTCGACCTGCGATAAATGGTACTACATGCAGCGATCAAACACACACACGGGGCGTTTAATATGCAACGATTTCAATAACTGTATAGCTAACGGTTCAACAAGTTCCTAAGGATGCTGCTCCTATTTAGAACACTCTTCATTGCGATTAGTCTGCGGACTTTTTATGCGAGACCCGAATTCTTTACTTTATTTATGATCATGACCCAGCAGAGGAATAGCAATGGAATATATGAACATTTTGTTGTAAAAATCTGCAGTCTAATCGTGATTTATCGCGGATCGATGTACTTGATTGCTGACCCTCCGCATCGGCGTGCACATGATAAGGTTTGCGTACGTACACATACACACACACACCTTGGATGGCTAAATAGATGCACCGAGCTGATTGACAATTATTTTTTTTTTTTGCGGAATCGTTGCCGTACATAGGTCGGACATTAGTTTTTCGTCTCTTCGATGTACAGTTAAATGTAAATGCAACTCGCATATACCGAGGACAATTATATTGTGTCATATCAAAATTGAATTATTTTATGAATAAAAGTATAAACCGCAGATTTCGTCCTCTTTCTTTCCCAGCAACATATTCCGATAATAATAATTAATTCTACAATGAAATTGATATTCGCACAGATTTTAATAAGGCGCGTTACCAGTGTGACCGCCAAAAATTTAGGTCACTTTTGGGAATCATGTGCAAGAAGGGAAGGAAGCGATAGGTAACATTCAGCATAAAGAAGATACGATTATTATAAGAAAATGTTTATTTAGACAGAAAATATCGAATTTCGAATATAATAAAGTTTCCAAATTCTCGTGATAGAAGAATCGGTGAAGCTTCTTAGACCGAGCATACGACAGATATATTTTTCCTACTGACGACACGTTTCTTGCGGAAGTGAAATATGTAAATAATAATAATAATAATAATAATAATAATAATAATAATAATAATAATAATAATAATAATAATAGTAGTAGTAGTAATAATAATAATAATAATTGTAACCGATCGAGTATGGCCGCGAAAAGTACCGCAAAAAATAAACTGAAATTGAATTACGTGTACACGGTCCCCGTACGTACGGTTCGTTCTAACACATCGCGACGGTTAAAAGTATAATGATTGTGCATACGATGAAGTTACGACAACGTGAATACAAATTCGATCTCCGTTTTACTTTCTCTCGACACCTGTTTTTCGCTCACATGCACAATATACATATAATAACGTTCAACTCGCACTCTTCAGTCTCCTGCTTTCAAAATTTCTCTATAGATTACGCGTTTCGCTGTAAGTAGTAATTAGGTTTTAACTAGAAGTAAATAGCAATTATAATAATAGTATTATTATTAATAGTAGTAATAGTAGTAATAGTAGTAGTTGTTTTCTTTCTTAGGGCTCATGCAGAATTATGCAGGGCTTTCTGTCAATTTTCGAGAAAGCAACATTCTATTATGTTTCCTTGAATATCTGCGTGTTCCTTCGAATTAAATGCAAAAAGTCGGATAGATATGGAATTGCTTGATTTGTGCTGTTCCTATTCACACGATCCCGCGCGGAACACCCGTGTGGATATCATTCCTTTTAACAAATTCGCATTTATGCCGTTGTACTAACTCACGCGAACGCGTCGTCGCAAACGTAGCGAAGATTTAGTTCACGAGTAGAAAAATCCTAACGCGGAATTGTACGTACCTAAGATAGATCCATTCGTAATCGGTATATAAAACGGACAACGTACAGTTCCCGAATTTCTTTAGTTCACGCATATACATATACATATATCAGCCAATCGTTTACTTTGCCACGTTCTCTCTTGTTGAACAACAATGATCTAACAGACTGTAGCACCGTTTAATTCCGTAAAATTGCGCGAGGAAAAGAAGGAACGTACCTTATCGCCTTTATGCAAGTGCGAAAAAACAATTGCCGAGTTCGTAAAAACAAGGATGACCTGTTCTTTGCCCTCTCTTAATTAAAAATCATTTAACATTCTTACATGCACAGTCGAATTCGATTTATTCTTAATGAAAACGTTGTGCGATTCTCTGTATGCAAAATGTCGATTAATAACAGATATCGACGACACAGACTTTGCTTCCAAAACACAAGTCAACTACAGAGATAGATGACCATATTTGGAAACGGACCTGTGCCGATAGGAGAATTCAATGCCGATCTGCGCGTAAATACTTTAACGAGCAGATCATCAAATGCATCAAATGTGTAATTATTCTTACAAACAAACATTGGACAAAATCTGATATTACAGGCTTGGCTGACAGGGTCGTTACGAATCCGTCAACCGTTTTCTTCATTCCCACTACGTAAGAAAAACCCGCGCTGGCGAAGCTCTACAAGTGAAGCGGATAAATTGTAACGTTATTCATTTGTACTCGACGATCTACTGCTTATCGCGTAAAAGAAAAGAGAAAAAGAATTATGACAGCCGGTTGGATTATATACGTGTATATGTATATATATATAATAATATATATATATGTATCTATAGTGCGTAACTTACCCTGATTCTCTTGCAGCGTAAATCATTTAACAGGTAATCATTTGTTTTCTTTTTGTTTAAAATCGCTTCGCTAATTCTTTCGGCTATTATTAACAATTAAATTCACAATTACTTACAAACTATCAATATATGTATATACATATATACCTATAGATGTATATAGATATATGTATAATTCAGTTTGAATCGCTGATCGACGATTCTCATTCTCTGTAATCGATCGTAGGATTGATAGACCAGACCGTGGCTCTGCGAGTAAGTAAAAGTTAATTACTCGCCAGGGCAGCCATCGCGCGAATCAATGCCGCGTTCTCCTCTCGGAGCCGTTCCCGTTCTATAGTCATCTCGTGCTGCTGTTGAAGCAGCCTGGCCTCGAGAGCCATTATCTTATGGTCTCGGTCCTCCAGCAGAGACAATAGCCTCCTATTTTCCTCTTGCGCTCGTTCTATCAACTGGAATCACACGGAGAAACCAAGTCAATCGATCTGTAAATTAACATTGAAATTAGTATCGCGTTCTGAGATGAAAAATTAAATACTTCGTGCGGATTGTCTCCCGTTGGCGTGGGCAGTCTTGGCTGACTCGCGGCGTTCACAGACGCCTGCGGCTCATGGTTCCCGTGGTCCGACTGATTGACACCGTCAGATTGGTTCAACGAATCGAACTCTTCGTCGTCTGCCTCCAAATCGGAGTGGCTAAAAAGTAAACGGTCAGTTTTCGTGTATTAGTGAATGCTCGTGGCGCGAACCAGTTCGGACTGCCTATGATATTGTATTAGGCACGACCCTTAACAGACAAAGATGTACCAATTGTTTCATTGTATGAATCGATTCACGTATTGTCAATTATCCTTGCGCTTTAGTGTGAAGTATGATAAAGTTAGTGTGACGTCGAGATCGAGTCTATCGTCTAGATCGTTGTATCGTAGAAAAAAAGGTATACAAAGGGACTTACGGTACTCGTTACATTACGCAGGCTCGTATTTAAAAGAATTTCTACTAGCTCTACCGTACTTCGTACAGGTCGTGCCTAATTGTACATTTGTCACGTACAGTAGCACTTACCAACTGTGCCTATTTATACATGACCTGTAGGAAGTACGGTAATGCCTAAAAAGCAGTAGCAGTTTATTACAAATAACTACGAAAATTTTCACTAAAGCACTATATAATATACATGATATAATATAATAATATATATGTAATATATTATGCACATATACATATACATATATATGTATATATAGGTATATGAATTTACTACCGTAATATAAGATATCTCAGTGTTTTATACCTTTTGTTTCGCCTTTGCGTAAACATTTTTGCTGTCCGTTCCTGAAACATGCGTCAGTTTGACATACATACAGTAATTTCTCCTCTGTCGGTCGACTTTTTTTCGACTCTCGCGTTTCACAGTTAACAGAATGATAATAATAATAAAATGATTCGCTCTCTTTCTTTTTAAAAGAAAAAATATAAAGAATAAAAATCACGCGGACTTACTTCGATGAGTTCATGATCAAGGAACTCATTGTGATGTGTGTTGTGTTTTGTTTCAAGACAAGTGCCACTAAGATCTTCCTCATCTTCGCCTGTACTACCTCCTGTACTCTGTAGAATTAAGTGGCTAACGAAATTACATTGCGGGGTAACACGAGGGTTTGTACACAAAACGTTTACCGATACTCGTTTAGAACGCTCGCGGCGAACGCGATTTTCAACAACAACATTCAAAAGAGCAACGCGGTTCATTCCGAAAAAGCGGTTATTTTATCAGAACGAAGTGCAATACTACTTTCGTCAGACATTCCGTGTTCGTATCTAAAAATCGTCGGAAAGGTAAGGCACTCCTCGGTAGGAAAAAAATGCACACGTTCAAGATATTAACTGAAATATTAATTTGTATAAATACTAATTAAGAGATAAAGAGATTAATGTTTAAAAAAAAACTTCTAGATTCGTCATGCAAAATACAGAGGACGGCTAAACAGATTGAATATTGATATAAGGTAGAGATCCTCGTCTCAAAATCCGGGTATAATTGCCGCGGTGAGTCATTAAGATTTTGGGAACCTTTAACGTGACTGGAAAACAGCGACAAACCTCCGTCGATGGCAAATGTACTACTCCGGTACTTCGTCTCTTTTCTCGAAGTTTCCGTCGATCACGCTGCTGCTTTCCCTTGTTTATGTGCGTTGGCCTGTGCAAACAGGATACGACACTAAACACACTAGAACCAGAATCCATGAATTTGTTAACGAGTCGCTCGCGTGAACTGGATCTACTAGATCTCTAGATCTACTTTGAAGTGAACGCGGTTTACTGCTTACGGCGAACTCATATAACTCATCGTCCCGGGCACGTCACGACTAAAACAGCGGCGACGGTGTCAGTATTTACTCACCGGCCGGTCACCCGTTTGTCCTGCTTCCTCATTATAGGTTTGTTCTGTTGACTCTCATGGTCAGGGGGAAGTACACTGTTCGAACTCGTGTCGCACACACCCTGAGACTCTTCCACATTTTGTCCACTCTCTGCGAATACACAGAATTCCAGTTTTAATAAAATAATTAATACAGATCAGAAGTAATTTATAGAAAATCAGTGACAAGCTCTAACACAAGAGGTAATGTACGTTACTTTGAAAATTGATAGCAGCGGAATCTCCGGTTCTAGGTGGATTAACCCGTGCCCTAGCAGTCCTGATCCTGGACCTCCTGGACGTCAGTTCGAAGTCATTATCGAAATCCTCCTGGCTGACGGAGCTGGACGCCATGCCGGTGATATCGCTGTATGATAATACGAATACAATCAATTCCGTTCACACACGGACACAACGGTGCTAATCAAAACTGTGCGATAACAATATCGATAATAATAATAATAATAACAATAACGACGATACATTCAAATAAAAAACGGGTTCTTACAAAGAATACCTGGACATCTGAACAAAGGGGTAGACGGATAGTAGGTGCGACGGACCAGCGGTAGACTTGCAGGCCGAGAAAAAGCGAGTGCTCGATTAGGTTTGTCTAGAAGGGGAAAGTCACAAAGCATGGAACACCGCTTTCCGACTACTACGGGCAGACAAAATGCGTGCGCGCAATAAAAATGATACAACGGAACACGAACGGAGAAAAGAAAGAGCAATTCTTTTGAGTATTAGTCACCTGTCGAGGTGAGCGGTCTTCACCTAGTTCCAATGCCAATGCCGTGACTCACTACCAACCTATGTGCGATTGACAGCTGTCAACCGTCGGGACATCCATAAACACGTATGGCCCCGCACAATTACATGGTTCAAAGATAGATGGGTATATCGATCGTGCCGTGCACCTTGACTAAGGTTCAATTTCCAACGACGCTTCCCTCCCTCCTCTTCGTCGCCTCGATGTCACTAAGCAAGGTGGAAATGCGAGAGATCACTAGAACTCTGGTGCAAGTGCGCGGGCGCGCTTGATAAGACCAGATAAGACCGATAAAACCGTGAACGTGAAGGTCGCAGAGGCCTTCACGTCTTCGCATTATTTTCTAGCATGTTCTTCTTTGAATCATCTTGAATTTAACATTCAACTCCCTTTACACAAAGTTAAGGTAGCTACCCCTCGACGACCAGTATTTCTTTTCTAGCTGAAGAGACAATATCTTTGGTATAACCGAATCTTTAATTTGACCGATACCGAAAATAACGGTAACGTTGAGAGATTCATTCCGAGCTCCTCGTAAAGCGTGGTTCTATTTATTAGAGCAAATCTATACAAATTTACGATTCTTTATTTAAGATAACAATCGACAGGATTAAATCAACTTTTTACAATCTCTCAGTTCTTCCCACACGCTCACATCCTCGCATTCTATTTTTTTTTTTCATATACATACATAAGTGGTACCATGAAAGAATTAGAAAGTTTTACTGCTCTTAGAATGAAATGAAGTTATTAAAATAATCGGAGATTCAATTCTCCGGCAATTTATCTCTTCGACCCGCTTCTTGATCGTAATGAAAATGCTCGCAAATCAGCTTTCGAAAAATAAGGGTATCCATTAATATAAAACCATTATTTAGTAGAGAATATGTGATATTATGTTCATTGAACAACAAATATGACTTAAATAATAATATATACATTTAAACCGATCGATGGAAAAGTCGATCGTAATTGAAAGTTACATCGCATTTCATTATTCTTAACGCTTAACAGAGCGTAATCATTGCCGAGTAATATTAAATGACCTTAAAATCTTCTCACTGGCCAACCCCGCTTCGTTTCTGTATTGGCGAAATGAACGAGTTAATCGATAATTACACATTTTTCCAATTTTGATTATGCCACAAATGTGCTCCAATTAAGAAATAATTTTCTCAAAATTCAAAATATAGCTTAAAGAAAATACGTAATAACTACTTATTTAGCCAATATTTATTTAGCACTCCCATATATATATATATCTGTTCAGACAAATCTAACCACGTAATAGACCGATTACTAAATTAAGCTATGAAATATTAAAATCTAATGAACAGAAGATATTCCACATAAGAAAACCTAAGATCTCTTTTGGTAATGTTTTCTATTCACTTAAATGCATACTTCCATTTCGCCAATTAAACACTGAAAAAATGTTAGATCATAACAAAACTGCATTGTTCAGCATTTCACTAACTGGCCGAAAATGAATCAAATTCCTATGTATAGTCCAACAAAACCGTTGAAGGCATGTTTCCATAGTTTGAACGTGTTGCTGTTCACACATTTAGGAGAACAGAATTTCAAGATCGTCGGCGTCGGAGAAAGAAAAATCTGGCGAATCAGGAGATCTGGTGTAATCCGTCAGATCGTTCGCCGAATCATCGGCGTCAGCTGCATCATCGTCGTCATCGTCATCGTCGTCGTCGTCGTTTATCTCAAGATCGTTTCGCTCATTATCATCGCCATTCTCTCCTGCCGCTGGATCCGGATTATCCGCATCTATTTCAAAATTGATTGTTTATTGCAATAAAGCTGCGAATGATTCCTGCATAATATGCACGAGCGATACAAACTATTGCAAATAAGTATAGTTGAATCATCATTTAAAATGGCTATAAACGCCATGCATTAAAATCGAATTAAAATTAAATTAGGAAACAGAGACCGCAGTGATGTGCTTAGTAAAACTGCAATAAAACTCTTTAAAATTAACTAAATAATACAAATTATAATTTTTTGTAACAACGTATTATTGTATTAATTATTATAGAAAATGATGAAAGTTATCACTTCAATAATTTAATGAAATCTCCTATGATCTTTGATACTAACCATCTGCGTTATTATCATCGGAACCAGAATTCGAACCATCATCGTCGCTCGCATCGAGATCATCTTCATCATCGTCCTCGTCTGATTCGTCCTTATCATCTTTCCTTCTTCCAACGTCGTACAATCTAACGCTCGACTCGTGAATATCGTTGAATTCGTTCAGATTCTCAACTACGGCTATTTGCGTATCGAATTTGTTACAAGCCAGTCCGTAAACTCCTCTTCGAACATCATAGGTAGCTACAATCATTTGATCATTAATGTATAAAGTATTTACATTTTTCATATTTGATTAATATAATCCATGTCTCTTACCAATGTTACTGTAGTCCAAAGCATCTAACGTTTTAAATGATGTAATACAGTTTGATTCGTCTGCGTTTTCAATATCCGATGACACGGCATAGATAATGTTATTAACAGGAGAGAATATTATTTCCATTTGATCGAGAGTCGGTACCGTCTTTAACAAATGAAAGGTTCTTAAGTCCCAGACTTCTGTGTTCGACACTACTTCCGTACCTATTGAACACAGTTATTTAATATTAAACATATGTGCAGACATATTCCTCATCAGAAACAATTAGTTATAATTTATGACAATACCATTGGGATGGAAAACTCCGTTAAGCGTTTGGTTCAATTTATCAAATTTATGAATTTGTTTGCCTGAGTTTACATCCCATAAAATTCCGTCGCTTAAAACCAACTCATCATTCATACTGAAAGTAGCACGATTTTGCGTGTATCGATTAGAAATTGCAGGAGCTAGCCTAGTTAACAATTGTCCAGTCGCTATATCATAAATCTAAACGAATATTCATTTAATTGATTATCACTCATTATTTTACACTACAAAAGTAATTAGGATAAGGAGATCGATGATACCGTTGCAATTTCGCCTTGTGTTCCAATAATTCTGTCTTGCAGTTTTCCAAATTCAACGTGATCCTCGTTTTCTAAAGACAATTTTAAATCGAAGAACGTTCCTATACTCCAGAGTGCAGACATAGGACTCCTCCACGGTGTGGTAGTTAACAATAAATTTCCCCGTTGATTACATTCCATGTTACAGATGTAAGACTCGTGACAGGAATACGTCGCTTCTTCTAATCCCGTGTGTATATTGTACATCTTTACTTCCCCCGCGTAAGTACCCAACATTAGATATTGTTGACAAGGCTGGAAAAATATAAAAATTCATTATATTACAAATACGGATCAGCTCAATTATACTGAACAGTTGTGATAGAAAAAGCACCATACCGAGAAAATACAACAAGTAAAAGCTTCAACGTCTGTAGGTCGGAAAGTTTTTACAGGACAAAATCGGCTATATATAAGTCTTCTATCCAGTCTTCTGCCATCGATACCCATCGATCTTCTAGCCAATCTTACCGTTACATTGGTTGGTGTTGAATTCTTTGTACATGGATCAGGACATTTATGAGGTCTAAAATCAAATATATTATTATATTATCATATGTATTAATTAGAGAGTAAATGGTACGCGAATACGTACTCGAATAGATTGAATTGTGGACAAGTAACCATTGGATTTTTACATAAAGCGTGTTGATTAGTTAAATATTCCGTTATAATGGAATCCAGGGTTATAGTAGACGGATTTGACGTAGCTATACCGAGTCCTCCGACTCCAGGATCTCTTGAAATTTGTTTTTGCAGCGATCGACACGACGTCGAATGACAATTCATTTGACTGACTAGAGCCTGCTTATCGACTTGAATTTTCCTGAAGTTATTAAACATATGTCTTAAGTTATCAGTACCTTTCGAATAAGAAGCGGTCATTATTAAGTTCATAACTTACTTTTGGTTAATTTGTACTTTAATTGGTTGAGGTGTGCTAGTCGGAACAGTACTTTGATTGAGGCAGTCGGAAAGTTTCAAGCGGACGTTATTTGGAGTACTTAATGACGCTGAACTTGAACTGGTATTCGAATGGGATATGTACCTAAAGGATGAGGTGGGAGTGGTGTTGTTACGGGGAGTGACATCTCTTTGAGTACATCTGTTCGTGCTGTACAAATTCACTGTTGCTCCAGGAGAAAATCCATTTCTTGTCTAAGGAAAGTTCGTACATAGTAAATTGATAGATTTTCCATTAAATTATTTGAGGAATTTATAAACAGTCGAACTGTATAACTCACTGTTGTAGTTACAGGACTGCGATAAGTAAACGGCTGATATGTGCATATCGGTTTCATTATAGCAGAAGACTCTAAATTCGCTTCCCTGTGAAGTGTCGACGCAGTGTCTGTTAAACCTTTCGACATTAAATGTTGGTATATTAACTGATTCAATTGATGTTCATTATACTGTATTCTCGTCTGTGCTACTACATTTGCCTGTAGAATTTTTAATTACCATTATTCGAAGAAATAAGATAAAACAGGATGTGTCATGATTAGAATTGAATTAGATAATAAAAAATAATTCTTACACGATGTAAACTGGCCAAAGAAATTTCGTATTCCGCCCCAGTAGGTTTCGCTTCCCCGGAAACTCTGCCCATTAACTCCAAGGCGTACTTTTGAAACATTACGTGCTCCTGTCTCTTTTCTTGAAGTATCGGATCTTTCATAAGAGCCTGAATTTGTCCGTCGGTGAACATTGGTAGTTTGCTAATTATTTGTCTGACTTTCTCGCTCCGCGCCAAACCCGCTAATGCGCGACAAGCTAATGCCCTTATACTATCAGCATCCGTGATAGGAGTTTTTACCATCATTAATTGCAACAAGACCTGTAAACAAAATAGAATAATCATAAACATATAAAACGAATGCATGAAAATTGTTTTAAGGAAGTATATATAATTACCATTATTCCGTTATTCGACCTTACACTTCCCCAAATTTTTTGTATTAACTCCTCGCTGTTATTATTCGCTTTTTTCTTGGCAGAACCTGTTACTGAATATCTTGCTACATTACCACCAATCTGTAATAAAGAAACAAGTAATAATCTCACGTTTTCTTATATTATTTATTTCATATAAACGATAACTTACTCTATTTATTGGAGCGCATACACAGTTGATCACAGCTCTCAGCGCAGCTCTCTGTACATCGGGATCTGCGATGATCTCGCATTCCGCTGCAGCTAAGAGCAGATTGATCGCCATTGTCATCGACATATCAGGCATGTCGACTCTTTCGCAAAGCAGCAACATCACTTTTGGCACTATGGAACAAATAGCTATTACATCTAAGCAAGAGCGGACCGTCTCCGCGCTCGAGGTGGTATGAACTCGGCCACTGTAATTCCATTCCCTAGCAAATGCAATAATCTGAAGGAGAAGCGTTATCCCCCCGAGGCGATATAACTCTTCTACTGGCGGCCACACTGCCCTTACAGACATTAATTCCTGAAGCACTTCCACCTGTAACGAAGATATACCTCGTTAATGATAAAATATTTAACTAGTATTGATAGCCCTTTGATAAGTGTATGTTACCTTCGCTTGAACTTCTTCACTGCTCAATTTGACAGCTTTATAAGGTGGTAGCGATGGCTGCCACGTGTCACGCTCTGCCCTAACGTTTTCAGCTCTTTGCAATTGTTCCGCTTTAAGATGTAAATGAGCCTCCATGTATCGTTTCAAAGCTACCGCAACATGCCTAACTATCTGTCTAGAAGCACATTCTTCGTCGTCATTCAATGCCGGTTCTTCCTCGATGTTCAAAATTGGCAATGTGGAAATCTTGGGAAAACATCGATAATTGAATTAGTTATATTGTGATACGGGATTGATCATTTCTGTGGTTAAAAACGACACATACCACGTTAAAAAGTTTTCTAAGTCCATCCTGCGCATCGAATTCTTCGAGTATCACTTTAAATGGGAAGGAAAATCCAAAAAACATTGTCGCGTGGCATCTTCCAGAATCGTGGCTTCGCTCTAGAAGCCACAACGCGTAAGTAACGAGGTCGGAGATTACGTGCTTTGGCAGTAGACATACTCTCTCCATCGCGTCCTCACAGTACGCTAAATAATATAAACAAATTGAGACACCAGTGGCCGCGACACTGGGTCTTGGAACGTCCAACAGTTTCTGTAAGCCACCGACGTTGAGGAATTCAATAGAGAACTTTTTATGACAAAGGAGGGAGGCTAAATATTTCAAAGCCTCGAAGGCTAAGCGACTGTCCTTGGTTTCTCTGACATTGATATACTTTAGAATTAACTCTAAAGCGTTCTGTTCGAATACGTGGCCTAAGAACTCTTGATATTCACCCATCGGCGTAAGGTATCTACCAATGTATAATGGAATTCATACACATTATTGTCATTGATACTTGGTAATGATGAAACACGGAGATCGTCTCACCTTAATATTAACATCTGCCGCGTGGCCAACGTTGGAGGATGTATTTGTACATTTCCTATAACGTACGATTCCATCTCCGCCCATGAAGAATTGGAATTATTCTCGATTAATGCAGCCGGTGTAATGGAACTTTGCATCGATGACGTCGAATTCTTCTGCAAATTGCATCGCGCCGAGGAGACGTTCACTGACCTGTTGAGACTGTTTTGTGCCTTCGATGGTGTCGCTTGAGTACTTAAATTAGGATTCTTTGGCACAGCCAGAGGCGGAGACATTATTTCTGGGTATATGTTATCATTTTTTATCGGAGTCTCGCATCCTGCGTCGCTTTTCTTTCTCTTGGGTAAGGGAGCAGAATCTTCAGAAGAGTCGGCACAGTCTTCTTCTCCTTCAGAAAAATAATTACTACCATTTGGACTTTTAAGAATCCCATTTTCTTTTCGCTTTTCTCTCACCTTCAAACGAAATTTGAATAAATATACGTTTATCAGATTGTAACCACATGTATATTAAATATTCGTCTTACTTTTCTTTTTCCAGGCACGCCTTTGTTTTCTGCATCTCCTCCACTGTTTCTATCCTGACCAAAATGTGCAAACGGCCTATTATTGGCGGCGAGTTGCCTATCTTCTTGGGCTTTCTCTTGCAATTTATGAAGCCTTTGCAACATTAAAGGCACCATTTTCCCATTCTGCTCTCTGAATCCTGTGAGAAATAAAGAAATAAACATTTCCTTCCTGTGCCTTTAAAAAGAAATAATAAATGTCAAGCTTTATTCGAAGTTCGAACCTGTTGCGATCTCTTGAACTTCCATTGCAGCTGCTACGAGCCCTGTTGCATAACTTTGCAAAGGTTCTATGCTTTTCTCTGCCCAAGAAAACAAACGATGAATAAGACCGTCCATATCTGGCTGGAACACTGCAGAAGTTTCTAACCCCGGAAGAATATCGAGCATAAGACGACAAGCTGCGATGTTTAGTTTTCTAACATCACGACCTGTGACACCCGCGCGAGACCAGTAAGTGTCTCTCAAGTAATCATTTATAAGCTGTTGAACAGATAACATCGCACGAAACAACGTTAATTCATAATGCTTAGTTTTGTCGAAGTTGATCATCATTAGACTTACCTTGGTCATAAAATTATCTTTTCTAAATAGAACTTTCAATATGTGTCCAAAATTGCATTCTGGGTCTGTGCGCGATGGATGCCTTTCATCGAATGGGTCTGGATCCATTTTCAAATAATTTTCGGTTTCTAATTCTATTATTTCTGCCAGTCTTTGAAGTGTCGGAACTGGATCGTACGAAGGTGAAGTATGTTCTTCTTCCCATTGCCTGAGGATTTGGACTACATCTGTTACTTCTGATAAGGATTCTGCACTTGACATCTTTTTCCCTATTACCCTATGAACATAAATTTATATTCACAATTAGAAATTCAAAATAAATACATTACTTCCATCTAGTTAAATTATGTTATTATTTTAAAATTTTATAACTGGATTAACGGATAATATTTTAATAATATGAGATCCATATTATTATTTTATGTCTATAATTAGTTTAATACTTTAATACGCAAGCATATACATCTATTTTTTATTTTCATACGTTGACAAAAGGTAATGAAGCAGAAAGAAAGTTTCAACCATGTGCGAAGCATAAAATACTTCAGTTTGATATTGATTAAAGTAAATAATATTGAGAAAACTCTAAATGAAACTGAAATAATTGCACATTGCACAATAAATGCTATTTATGATTTTTCAATTAAAAAAATAATAGCAATGTACATATCAAATCGCATCGAATAACGAATTCTGTACAAAATCAAAGTCTGATATTTATTCGACAGCTCACGGATTTTAAATAAATTTTCATTAAAACCCCGAAACCGATTACTTAACCTTAAAAGTCAATGTACAACAAACAACGATCAACCTTTTCGAACAAAGCATACGGAGTGGCAGTATAATAACAATTATCGGAAATAAGCGAAAGCAGTAACAAAAAATTGGTATATACCGATGAAGACAGATTGTTGTTTGTTATTCGAAATTCGGAGGATCAAACTTGTTGGAGGTAAAAGCAGCGTGTATCTTGTTAGGTTAGAGTCGACAGAACGTTACCTTCCCAAAAATTTATTTGACAGTTTACTTCGTTGACAGTTATTACCATGTACGTCACTCTCCTAAGCGAATAATTGTACTTTCGGATCTTGGGAATAACGAACAATTCCAATCGAGAACAATGTTTTCTTACAAAAGTACGAAAATGCAACCAGCAACACGCACGCTAGACGGGCTAGTTAATTGACTTTTGAAAATGTATTGAAATGTCGTAATAATAAAGCAGGATTCTTTCTAACGTTGATGTTGGTTCCACAGACTGGTTATTTTTTGCCGATTTCGTTCTAAAAAGGTACTCGAAAATTTATTTCGGATTTTTCATTGGACACAACTACATATATATACGAATAATATATCAGAAATATCCATATATATGGAATATAAAAATAT